ACCAATATCCGATCGACGCTGTAAGAGTCTTTAGCACAATAGAAGCTGAAAAGTTCCGCAATACTTTCAGTTCATGTTTTACAAAATGGCGATCAAACTCTTCCTTGCTGTCGCCGTTTTCTCTCTTGTGTGTGTTTTRAGTTGTCTAAGCCAATTCTGCAGATACCATAATCAGTGTTCCAAAAATCAAGTTTGCTGTAAAATGAGATGCACTGARGGCTCAAGTTGTGCYGGCAGTTTCTGTCTCAAGGGGKTCTTAGGCTGCTCGCCATCAGAATCTTGCTGCAATAACAAGTGCACGGAGGGGAAGAATTGTCTTGGCCGTGGCTGTTCTATCGATAAAGACTGCAGTCTTCWTGAAAGATGTTGTGGTAATGTGTGCGTGAAGGGAGAAAGTTGTCTTGGCCATTCCTGCCACTATGATGGAGACTGTAGTCCTCACGAAAAATGCTGCTTTGGTAAGTGCAGTAATTCGAGCTGTGTAGGAATTAGCTGCGGCTCTATCCTCTGCTTGCCGTCAGAATCTTGCTGCAATGGCAAGTGCACGAAGGGAAAGAACTGTATCGGCCATCAGTGTTTTAGCAATAGTGACTGCCTCCAGCCAAATGAAGCATGTTGTCTTGATAAGTGTGTAAAGGGATATAACTGTCTCGGACAAAAGTGTCAGTTTGATTGGGACTGCAATGGTCATGCAAAAAAGATTTTCAAATGTTGCTCAGGTATATGTTCTAAATCAAGTCTGACGACAAGCTGTGTTAATCATTCCTGTCCCAATTCTGACCACTGCTTGCCATCAGAATCATGTTGTAACTACATATGCACGAAGGGTAAGGATTGTACTGGTCAAAAGTGCACTCGCYACTGGAACTGCGGGAGATTKGAATCTTGTTGTAATMATKTGTGTATATCGGGTACGAGTTGTGTTGGCCAAAAGYGTGCTAATGATTCCGACTGTCACAATAATTTTCGTAGTGAAAATCGAGAAATATGTTGCTCTGGTAAATGCCGCTATAGAACAAGTTGTCCTAAACAATTCTGCGCTGACTCTGATGACTGCTTGTCAACGGAAACATGCTGTAATGGAAAGTGTGTCGTGAGGGGAACGAATTGTGTTGGCCGTCGATGCGATGCCGATAAACACTGCATTAAGTATCTTGAAAAATGCTGCAACAACCGGTGTGTAGAAGGAATGAACTGTCTTGGCCATCCATGTGTTACTAACAAAGACTGCTCTTTGACTCAAGATCAAGAATACTTTGACCATGAAAAATGCTGTGTTGATAGGCGATGCCATAAATCAACCGATTCCTGCTTGGAAATGGGTTACATAGCTCCAATTGTGGGTGGTAGCGTGGGTTTTGTCGTATTCTGCTCATGTGTTGTAGTTGGTCTTCTCATTCTTCGTCGAAGAAGAAAGAAACTTCTATCGCAGCGAAGTGGCCAAGTTATCAACCAGCAGCCATATCAACAGCTTGACAACGAGGAATCGTCTACTGACAGTGAAACAATCGCCGAAGGAACTTTCCCTTCTTCTGTTCCAGCTTCTAACATTGAACTGGTTTCACAAGAGACAACCGCTTGACAGAGAATCAGCGGTCAACTGAGTCTTCCCGCCGACCGTTTGAAGAGCCAAAATGATGTTAAGTTTGAGCCCTGTATATTTGTAAACAGTTTTCTGTTTTATTTTTAAACTTTAAAAATTGAATTGGATTGAATTGAATTGGTAGCTGTTTGATTGAGTGAAGATTCAAAGGCACAGCAAATAGAGTCCATAATGAACCTGTTGCATTGCATCTCTGTCAGTCGATGCATTTTATAATTTAAATTGCTTTTCTTAGTAATTATATAGTATTATGCTAGTGTAATCACTAGTACTATTGTTTGCCACTGTAAACTTAACCTGAAAAGCCAAACACTTTGAATAAATTAGCGGTTCTTCGTCTAATTGTTCAACAATTATATTTTATTAATTAACAAATTATTATTAGTAATCTGGTAGTAACGCTGAAATAAAAATACTGATTCAAGAACACATTCACGTCACGGCATGGTCACGATATCAAAGTGCCGTTTCCTTTTATTTATTTCTTATTTTTTCGCACACCCAAACAAAATCCAAAGCCTTACTTGATCGTTTATAGAGGTTGAATGATTCAACAGAGAAACAGACCTCACTCTGTCTTCCCTTTCCTCCACTTTATTGGTTGAAAAAAAAAATATTGTAAAAGGTAATCTTTTTGACCATGATGCACAGCGTCATTTTTAAAAAAAAAAGAGAAAAGTAGCCATTGAGGCTAAATTGATTGCACTCAAAATTAAGATAATAAGTTATAAATACATTATCATATAATTATCTATGTTGTATAATAATTTGCTTTAATATGTAATTATATATTCGCTACTCTCACTCGTTAGAGATCTTTTCAACACTTGAAGATAAAATCTGTATCTCTGCAAGCCCATGTAATATCCTCTCTATATATATATATTATGAAAAAGTTCTAGATCTTATAATTATAGGATTCTTGGAGTCACTAATGATCAATCAGAATTCAAAGTATCGTCTAAGTGACGTCAAACATGCGCTACTTTGGTACTTGTTTGGTTTATTGATGTCAAATCCAACACTATGATAGAATTCAAAATCTCAGTCAATGCATAAATCAGTCAAATCACAACATGTTACTCACATTTATCATTGGATTCATTGTCGTCAATAAACTCTTCATCGATAAAAAAAAATAAGTACATAGATAAATAAAAAAATCGATAAATGGATGCATGTGTAGGCAAAAAAATGTGTTATGAAATTAACTGAAAGAAGAAGGGAAGGGAAATGATAGTGATGAAATAGAAGGTACATGGCATGTATATGGTCAGGGAAAGGGAAATGATTGTTGATGACTGGATGTTGTAAGTGTGTGGGGGTGATAGTAAGAGGTGAATCGAATAAATGAGTGGGAAAGAGATGGAGAATGAACATGTTGAGAAGGGAAGGATAATAATGAGCACGAAATTGAAAGTGTGAATGGAGAGGCAGGGAGAAGAATAAAGAGACGAAAGGATGGAGAAACACGAGGAGAAGAAAATGAGTAAAAGCGTTAGCATCGGTAGTTATAAAGAGATAAAAAATAGAAACATGAAAAAGTGAGTTTTATTGTGAGTTTTTTGACCGAGAGGGGATTGGGAATTAAATTCGTCACTTAGAGCGGATTTCGTATGACTGTGCAAAAAAACACGGAACGTTCGTGCTGTATCCGTACCGTGCCGTAGCCGTGATCCATTGGAAAATCTTTACTTTCCTTTTGAAATCCTAGAAGGCGAGGTTCCGTGACCGTGCCGTGCCGTGTCCGTGTTGTGATCCGTGCTCACGTGATCACTGTTTTTCTGTATTAACGCTCCGTTCTTTCGCGATTGTGTATAAAATAGATCACTTTTTCATGCATAAGCACATCACCTATTCCTTTCGAAGCGTTTTTACGTTTGTTTGAAATTTTGAGACAAAGCATAAAAGCCAATTTGACGCCTTGGCGTTTGCAGTAAACGTCTAAAATAAAACTGTCTATTGCCGTATCGTCGACTGTTTAAGTCGCAGATTCGACTGAAGTCGTATTTAATCCAATACTGTCGAATTTTATTGATTTATACGCCGCATCTTACATGCATTTAATTCGTGAATTGTATTCAGCACATGTGAAGTTCGGCGTATAGTGCGGGCCTAATTAAAAAACAAACAGTTTGCTGTCTTTAATTGTTTTTATAAAATTTTTGATATATAACGCGCGCTCTGATTGGCTGACGACCGTGTTTATATCAGAGGACAGAGACACGGCTTACCGGCAAAATTTTCTTTTCGCTCGAAAAATTTTATAAAAGAAATATAAAACGGCCGCTTGTGTCTCTGTCCTCTGATATAAACACGGTGGGAGTTGAAAAACACTCGAGAAGCAAGAGAAACACTCGCTACGCTCGTGTTCCTAAGCTTGCTTCTCTCGTGTTTTTCGAACTCCCACCGTGTTTATATCAGAGGACAGAGACACGCGCGCCGTTTTATATTTCTTAAATA